GTAGTGATACCGCCTTGGAAACCCAAGGAGGGGTCGCTATGAGTCGGGGCCGACTCGACGGCAAACAACAACAACAACAACAACAACAACAATGTGCAGCAAGTGAAGGTGATTGTGATGAAGAATCTGTTACCAGTAGGGGTTGGTTGTACAGTGGTTAAAGCATTCAGCTGCAAACCAAAAGGTCTGTGGTGCAAACTGACCAGGTTCTCCACGGGAGAAATATGTGGCAGTCCTACTCTGTCCAAAAGGGTCGCTATTAGTTGAAAATGACTCAACAGCAGTGGGGTTGGGTTTTGTTTTATGGGTTGATTCAATCATTTCAAGTGTGGGCAAATTTACATAACATTAAAAGGCAAGCATGAATTGTCTGTAAGTCAAAACCAAACCAAACTCACTGCCATCCAGTTGGATCCGACTCATAGAGACCCCTCCTTGGGTTTCTGAGGTGGTATCATTATGGAAATAGATTGCCTCATCTTCCTTCCGAGGACTGACTGGTGGGTCTGTAAGTCAGTTGTTGGTAGTTGGGACTTAATGTATAAAAAAGTCATACTCATGTCAAATGAGTGAAGAGATATTCTATGAGGCTCAGACTTAATAACTTTGGATATTTGTTTATCTATCCTCATTTTTCATGTTAAGAATAGTCTTCCCAGGAGATTTGTTTTTACTTAAAAATATAATTTTCTGGTTTTCAGGACACAGTAATATGGTTTTATTTTCAATATTATAAGATATTGCCATTGTAATTAATAATTATAGTATCTTTGCCGAGTTTCCCACATGTTACACAAATCTAAAATATTTTAATTAATGAAGTATTAAGAGAATTAATTGAACTAAATTCAAATGAAGCATAAATAATCCAAGCACTGGCACCACCAACATTTATTACTACTTCTCATTCTATTGTTGGTTGTCTTTTTAGGCATATAAATTGGTATATACAGATTTGTAATCCACACATGAAAAGTTTTAGTATCTATTCTAAAGCATTATCAAATCTCTTAAATGTCCTTTTTAAAATAATATTTATTGATTCACTCAATATTTATTTATTGAATGCTAGACTCAGAGAGCTCTGAAACTCCAGAGTTTTCAAGGTACTTACTAACTCAAAGGAAGACTAAGACAAGTGGCTATTTTCTTACCTATCCTTTTTCAATTACTTTGAATTGTTCCATTATGCTTTTAACATAGCAAAACCTAAGCAATTCTCTTTCCAATAAGTTTCTTTTAACAACTTAAAATAATATATATAACTATATATTATAATATATAATAATATGCATATATATATATATATATATATATATATAATACTAAGGTTATATATATATAAAATTAACTTTATTAACTACAGATTTCAAATTAAAATCAATTTTCAAAGATCCTTACCTTCACAATGTTTGCAACAACAAGCTCTTGATTGTTTTCAGTATCTGATAAAAGCTGCTTAATCCCATTAATACGATCACGAAAGTCTTTTGCATTTAATAAGCCTGTTATGACTTTAATGTATTCAGCACTTTCTAAGGAATTACGGGGAATTGATTTTCTGGTGACTTCACGAACGTCAATTAACTCTCTAAAGTGAAAGAAAGGTAAATTTGATTCATTGTTAACTTCGTACAAAAAACAACATAAATAATTTTCTTTGTACATTTCATTTTTTAAAAAATGCACAGAACGCTTCTGTTTGATCTATGAAATTTGTTCTCAGACTTCTTTTAAAAGTTAGAACTGTAATCTTTCTTTTTATTTATTTATAAATAATATACTAATGTGATTTGGGTGAAAGCTTACAGAGCAAATTCACTTTCCATACAGTAGCTCACATACACTTTGTCTCATGACATTGACTGCAATTTCCCACAATGTAATAGCTCTCTTCCCAGTTCTTCCCCAAAGTTACTTCTTCCCTGTGTCCTTCTGTCCCAAGTACTACTGCCCCCCACCCCCGAGCTGTCTCCCTGTGCATACACAGCCCTTTCATTCTCCCACGATTGTTCTCTCTAAGGAGTGTATCTACCTAATGTAAATGTTCAGCTCATATGTCTGTCTTTTGTTTGGCTGGAAGCCACAGCAGTGGGTTCAATTCCAGACCTGAAGGGCAGCTAAGGGCCATAGTCTCAGGGGTTCCACCAGCCTCTACCAGACCAGCAAACTGCGCCCCCCCCCCCACTTTTTTTAAAAAATGATTTTCAGTTTTGTTCCACATCGTTCTCCCACTCTATCCAGGATTTCCTCCATAGATTCCCCTTCGAGTGGTTGACAGTGGTAGCCATGCACCATTTAGTTCTTCTGGTCTCATAGTCATATAGGTTGAGAATTGCATGGTGTACCAGTCACTTGGACTAATTGTTTCCATGCATCTTTGCTTTTCTTCATTCTTCTATGCTCTGGATGAGGCGAGACCCATCACTGCATCTAGATAGCCATTTGCAATCTTCTAAGATCCCAGTCACTACTCACCAAAGTAGGATGTGGAACAATGTATTTGTGTAGTATGTTATGCTAATTGAGCTTGATGTCCCAAGCCCACAGGTCCAACTACTTGCTCCTTCTGGGTAGTTGGCTGTGCCCAAGAAGTGACTACAACCTTGTCTCTTGTCAGTTCTACTATATACCTGGAAATTCTTACAGAACATACAAATACACTTGTAGAAACACTGTCTGCCAACACTATACATGGTCTTGGGGACACTCTCCCCTGCATGGACATACCTAATAGTTCAGCCTGTCTACCCATCTATCCACCAGTATATCCATGTTTGCCTTCACTGACAATGCAGTACTATGTGTGCAAAAGGATTCATCTTTGTTGTCTGTACCTCCCACGTACCTCTCTGTCTTCTTCTTCTTCAATGCCACCGTGTTGATCACTCACATTTGGTACATTGCCTTCCCTTCACCCAAATCAGTACTTGTCTATTTATCTAACAGTATTCCCTCCCCTCCCTCTCACCCCTCGTAACCAACAAAGAAAATTTCCTTCCATATATAAACCTTTCCTTGACTTTTTACAATAACAGACTAATATAATATTTGTCTTTCTGTGATTGACTTATTTCACTCAGCATAATGTCCTCCAAGTTCATCCATGTTATGCAGTGTTTTGCAGATT